AAGGACTAGTGTGTCATCAAGGACTAGAGTGTCAGCAAGGACTAAAGTGTCAGCAAGGATTAGTGTGTCAGCAAGGAGTAGTGTGTCATCAAGGACTATAGTGTCAGCATGGACTAGAGTGTCAGCAAGGACTAGAGTGTCAGCAAGGACTAGAGTGTCAGCAAGGACTAGAATGTCAGCAAGGACTAGAGTGTCAGCAAGGACTAGAATGTCAGCAAGGACTAAAGTGTCAGCAAGGACTAAAGTGTCAGCAAGAACTAGATTGTCAGCAATGACTAAAATGTCAGCAAGGACTAAAGTGTCAGCAAGGACTACAGTGTCAGCAAGGACTAAAGTGTCAGCAAGGACGAGAATGTCAGCAAGGACTGAAGTGTCAGCAAGGACTAAAGTGTCAGCAAGAACTATAGTGTCAGCAAGGACTAGAATGTCAGCAAATACTAAAGTGTCAGCAAGGACTACAGTGTCAGCAAGGACTAAAGTGTCAGCAAGGTCTAAAGTGTCAGCAATGACTAAAGTTTCAGCAAGGACTAGAGTGTCAGCAAGGACTAGAATGTCAGCAAGGACTAGAGTGTCAGCAAGGACTAGAGTGTCAACAAGGACTAGTGTGTCAGCAAGGACTAAAGTGTCAGCAAGGACTAGTGTGTCAGCAAGGACTAGTGTGTCAGCAAGGACTAGTGTGTCAGCAAGGACTAGAGTGTCAGCAAGGACTAAAGTGTCAGCAATGAATAATGTGTTAGCAATGGACTAAAGTGTCAGCAAGGACGAAAGTGTCAGCAAGGACTAAAGTGTCAGCAAGTACAAAAGTGTCAGCAAGGACTAGAGTGTCAGCAAGGACTAGTGTGTCAGCAAGGACTAGTGTGTCAGCAAGGACTAGTGTGTCAGCAAGGACTAGAGTGTCAGCAAGGACTAAAGTGTCAGCAAGGACTAGTGTGTCAGCAAGGACTAGTGTGTCAGCAAGGACTAGTGTGTCAGCAAGGACTAAAGTGTCAGCAAGGACTAGTGTGTCAGCAAGGACTAGTGTGTCAGCAAGGACTAGTGTGTCAGCAAGGACTAGTGTGTCAGCAAGGACTAGAGTGTCAGCAAGGACTAAAGTGTCAGCAATGAATAATGTGTTAGCAATGGACTAAAGTGTCAGCAAGGACGAAAGTGTCAGCAAGGACTAAAGTGTCAGCAAGTACAAAAGTGTCAGCAAGGACTAGAAAGTCAGCAAAGACTAAAGTGTCAGCAAGGACTAGTGTGTCAGCAAGGACTAGTGTGTCAGCAAGGACTAAAATGTCAGCAAGGACTAGTGTGTCAGCAAATACTAGAGTGTCAGCAAGGACTATTGTCAGCAAGGACTAGTGTCTGCAAGGACTAGTGTATCAGCAAGGACTAAAGTGTCAGCAAGGACTAAAGTGTCAGCAAGGACTAGTGTGTCAGCAAGGACTAGGCTGTCAGCAAGGAGTAGAATATCAGCAGGACTAAAGTGTCAGCAAGGTCTAGAGTGTCAGCAAGGACTCGAGTGTCAGCAAGGACTAGAGTGTCAGCAAGGACTAGAGTGTCAGCAAGGACTAAAGTGTCAGCAAGGACTAGTGTGTCAGCAAGGAGTAGTGTGTCAGCAAGGACTAGAGTGTCAGCAAGGACTAAAGTGTCGCTCGACTCCCAGTGATTCCCAAACTGTGCGCCGTGGCGCCCCGAGGTGCCGTTACCTCTTCACAGGGGCGCCGCAAAATATTCGAAGATACACAAGTTATATTTGATATATTTATCTCTTGCATACTGATAGTCATACTTTTACTTAGGTTAGGGCGCCGTGGAAAACCTTTGATTGAATAAAGGAGCCGCGACCAAGGACAGGTTTAGGAGACACTGTCTTAAGCTATCTCTGAGCATGTATGTTCTCTTTTGTCCATATTCCTTTTCTGATTTCCCACCGCCATGCAACGCCATGCATGACCTCTGTTCACAGGAATCCACTCAATGCCTGTACCATTGATGTCCCACTCGAACACATCTTTAATTTGTGGTAAAACTCACCTGAACATCATCTGTAACCTACCATATACGATATCCTAAGGGACTCTTCCATCCTCCATTCTTCAAGTGTGACCAAACCGTCTGGGATTTCGGAGAGTGAGCATTGAACAAACTGCTGTCCCTTTCAATAACAGTGTCGGTGATCTTGTCTTGCCACTAAGTGCCAAGTATTGGTCTGAGCCACTGAACGTGAAAACTGTTTAGCCACAATCGATATTATGACAGAATAATTATGACCCTGTTATGGCAGAAGTACCAGTACGGAGGTATTGGAGAGATCTAAGAGATCTAAACTTATTCCAGTGAATAAAGAGGTAAGAACAAGACGCTGGCAGTGGATAGTCCACTTAATTTGAACACGAGATGACTGTGCAATTGCAACTAAAGAAACAAAACAAACCGAAACACAGACGAAATAAAGAGTCTGAGACCGCCTTGGAACTACTTTTTCTTCGCGTTCACCGGCTGTAAATTCTGGCCAAAAGTTATGGGTGTTCGTCCACTTCTGGGCCTAAGACATGTTCCAGCACTTACATTTAGCGTGCACATACATTTTACAGATGTGGTTCATCTGTGTGCAGACTGCTGGTTTCTTGCCTCTCCGACTTCGAAGGAAACGCCTTATTGGTCAACTCTTATATTTGCTAGGGAGGCAGTAAGTCTATTTTTGCCCCTTCCCCCAAATCTGCACTGCGAAACTCACACGGGGAAGCGATGGATAATGCAGGAAGGATGAAGGTAGAGCTGCAAGGTAACAAATAAGGCGGTTTGACTGAGGTATGGTTCATGTAGAGATAAAATACAGAAACAGCAGACATTGTGACGCATTTTGCTCCTGAAAACCGGAAACAGAGTTCTGCATTCCAAGCGGCCAGCGCTGTATCTCAGCCAGCATTGGCCAGTCTGGCAAGAAACAACACAGTGACAATATGGCGGGCTACAAAACTCCGCTGGCAAATCCCTTAGCTGTTCAAAAGCAAATATAACCAAATATCAAACTGTTGTAACGACAATAAAACGGGAACAACAAGGAATTAAAGAACAACTCGGTCTGATATCAGACGTCTGGTTTTTATTTTTGCAGCTGAAAGTTGGCAGAATCTGAGTGGCCTTGGCTTCCCGTGGCGTCCCTCTTCATGGTTGTCCTGGCAACGGAGGAATGGGGACACACAAAATGTCTTTTGCACCCAGCCGATGACGTGTCCAAACGTTTTTGTGTTTGTGGGCTAGTGCCCAGTGAACAGACTGGGTCGGAATAAGGAAGAAATAAAGATATTATCTATTATATATTAGAAATAAATTTGTCATAAACAGATGCAAAGTAGGAAATTAGTGCATTAAAAACAAAAATACTGCAGAATTCGGAAAAGAACAATTGGCTAAGCAGTTGAAAGGTGTTTATACTAGAAGTCAAGTGTCTAATGATATACTGAAATAAGTTGTTCACTCTGAATGCAAAAGAGTCCTGACAACTGAATGGAGGTATTTGGGGGGGGGGGGAGGGGGACGCGGGTTGAATACGGGCACAGACATAAACTGTCAGGTCACTGGTTGCTGTGGTGACTCAAAGACACACTGTGTTTGTGAGCTAAGACCAAGGGGACACACATCAGCCATGTTGCCAAATACCTGTTCATAAAAATAAAAAAAATTGGCAAAAACATTTTCCAGTTAGTAAGTATTTGTTGTTGTTGGTGTTTGTTGCAGTAGTTAGATATACAGTTGATTAGTTAATTATCCTAGCTAAGTTCCTTAAAAATATAGCCAGTCAGTTGGCTGGTCAGTCAGGTAGTTGGTCAGTTAGCTAGCTGGTCAGTCAGGTAGCTGGTCAGTCAGGTAGCTGGTCAGTCAGGTAGCTGGTCATTTAGCTAGCTGGTCAGTCAGGTAGCTGGTCAGTCAGCTAGCTGGTCAGACAGCTAGCTGGTCAGTCAGGTAGTTGGTCAGTCAGGTAGTTGGTCAGTCAGGTAGTTGGTCAGTCCGGTAGTTGGTCAGTCAAGTAGCTGGTCAGTCAGGTATCTGGTCAGTCAGGTAGCTGGTCAGTCAGGTAGCTGGTCAGTCAGGTAGCTGGTCAGTCAGGTAGATAGGTGTAGGGGAAGAGCTGAATAGATTTGTGTAAAGAAAACGAACAAGTAATCCAATACGCATTGTAGGATCACTAACAAAAGAAGAAGAACAAACCCACTTAGAAAGCATGTCGTAAAAGGCCTGTAAACAGGAATTGTTCTTCTTTCTAAAACTGCATCTGCATGAGAGCCAACAGTCTACATACAAATAAGCCAGATTTGTAAAACTGATTTTCACGCAAAGCTAAAATTCTAGAACAAGACCAAAGTCCTGAAGTGGACGAACACCTAGAACTTGCCCGAGTTTACAGCTGATCAACGCTCAGAAGAAGCTGAATGAAAGACAATGAGAGGGATGAGAACACTGAGAGATATAAGGAGTATTATCTTGAGGCAGAAGAGGGATCTTATACCGTTAGTTCTCGGCTTGAATAATCCTTGCACCCACCTTGCTCCTGAGCATCACACCCATGTCTCCACTCAAGCAGATACTGCACCCCTATTCCCTCTGGACACGCCCACGACCCCCCTACAACAGTGGCACCCACCTTCCACCTGGTCACACCTATGTGTCCGCTATAGCAACTATTGCACCACCTTTTCATTGGCACACGCCCACGACCCAGCTAAAACAGTTTCACCCACCTTCCTCCTGATCACAATGGCCCATGCGTCCGCAAAATCAACTATGCACCCCCTTTCCACTGGGACACGCCCACGACCCAGCAAAAACGCTGGCACCCACCCTCCACCGGGTCACACCCATGTGTCCGCTAAAGCAGCTATTTCGCACCCTCCCACGCCCCCCCCCTAACCTGCAATGCCCGGGACACGCCCATGACTCAGCTAGAACAACTGGCTCCTATTGCCAGCATACACAAGTCACATGGCGTGAGACCAGCCTGTAGGAGCAAGAAGAGAATGGCTGTCGTCGTTTTCGTCAGTACTGTCATGATTGTGTCTGTCCTTCCTGCCTCTGTCCCTGTCCTCTCTCACAACCTAGGACATGCTACAGAAGAGGACTTTCTCCGTTTGCACAAGCATCTTCTCCAGGATTATAGGCAAGTAGCAGAGTTACTGTTTTCTTTCCAGTTAACAACAGCCTTGTTTATTCATTAATTAATTCATTAAATTGTTAATTATCCAAGTCACGTTTTCTTCTGTTTGTAACTTTCGGTACACGTGTAGCTTACGACTTCCGCCTAGACCAGTGTTTGCCAATTTTTTTTTAAAATAATTTTTTCATGCCCCACCTAAAGCTTTTCTACAATTCTTTATGCACCCTTTGTAACATAATTTTTAATATACAAATTGTGCCTCGTAACAATCAAATTGCCCCCGCCCCTTTTTTTTAAACTATCAACACCATCCACCCCTCCCCCTCTAATTCTGTAACAATCAACTTGCACCCCTCCCCCCACCCCCTTTTTTTAAAAGTCAAATTTTCCGACCCCTCAACGATAAAGTCATCCCCCCAGAGCCCCCCCCCCCCCCCCCACGAGGCGTGGGCCCCACGTTTAAAGGCCCTAAATACAGTCTAGTCTGGCTGTGTTCTGACAAGATGGTCAAACGAGTACATCCAGTGCTTTCACTGTTATCAACTAATGGATGGAAGTTTGAACAGACACGCGCTGAGAAAACTGAGAACAATATATCTAGAAGAGCTTTATGCTGGAAACGACAGGGGTGTAGAAATAAAGGCAGAACCCCCTTCCCGCCCCCCCCCCCCTCCAAAAAAACACATTCAGAAGAAAGTTAGAGAGTGCAGTTAAAAAGATGGGGAAGCATCAAGTGAGCTGCGTGTGATAGCGAAGAAACGAACGACTTGGCGTGAGTTGGGTGAGGGCCTATGCTCCATTCGGGGATACAAGGCATTAAAAGAAGAGGTGAATTAGCGTTAAAAGTGGTAGTAGTACGTTTGACCCCACCAGGACATCACACAAGCGATAAACACCAGATGTCACAAAGTGCCACCAGGTGGATGAGGTTCACCTGTGGAGAGGTCCCAGAAACCGCGTTCAGCCATTAGACTATATTTATGGCCGGGCTACATTGCGGCCCCTGGCAAGAGTCCGGATGGGGGCTTCAAAATAACGAAAAATTGCATGCCACAAGTGGATGACTAATAGTTAGAGTATTATAAAGTTGAAAGATCGCGGATGACGTGGTATATCCACGACCAGCTCCAGCTGGAGCCGGTCGTGGTATATCACTGGCCAGGCACAGGACAGGAGTGACGTCATCAATGCCATTGGGGATGCATATCTTAAAAACAATCACGACAAATGAAGATAATTACTCATCAAAACATGCACATTTGTTTGTATTATTCTCTGGTTTTGGTTTAAATTTATTAAGGACAAGACTCTATTTATGTTTTGCACCCATTACCTTTCAGTCGCCATGTTCGTCCGTTAGCCAACCAATCAGCGTCTCTGGAAGTCAGCCTCGATTTCAGTTTGACGTCCATCTTTGATGTTGATGACGTCAAGCAGCAGATCTCTGTGATGGCGACCGTCACGGTTCAGTGGTGAGTGTCACGTGTCTTATACATCAGCGTTCAGCCAAATGGCCATGACTGCACAAACGTGGCAGAGCTGTAACACATAATTCTGACGTTTCGGCACAAAGTGATTGTTTCTTCTTCAATTAAAGAACCCTTGCCGGTATTGATTTTAAATTCATGATGCTATCTAGAAAGTGATGTCACCACTAGAAATGGCTGGCTGGTAATCCTTCATTTACTGTTATACATTATCTAATATATTTGTTACCTGGCCGTATGGGTTCTAGAGCCTCATTTAGCGAGGGAGAAGAATCGATCAACTACCTCGTGTCCAGATTACCCTTACAGGCGACTAGTTGAGGCATTATTCTGTGTAAACAGGAAACCGCAGAGAACTTTACTGTACCACAAGGAAATTAGTAGGTAAATATAGTCAGCCAACTGGATCAATCAAAGATAGTCAAGGGAAGGTACTTACTAACACTAAAGATCAAATGGACAGATCGGTTGAGTATTTTCAAATATTTCTGAATAGACCAGGCCCAGACATTCCTCCAGATATCCAGCCTTCAGAAATGGAATTGGATATCAACTGTGAGATACCATCTAAAGAGGAAATTAAGAAAGCTATCATTCTTCTGAAGGAAGGACAGGTTGAGATGGTATTCCAGCAGAATTTATTAAGGCTAAAATAAATACATCACGAAATGGTTGCACAGATTATCTGCGTGAGCAAAGAAATACGGACAGACTGGAGAGAAGGAAATCCTGCTCCAGAGCAAAAGGAGATCTACAGGAGTGTGAAAACTATAGAGGAATTATGTTGCGGTCAAAGTGACTCATTTCAAATATTTAGGATCAATTTTGTGACCTGGGGTCAAACCCACAAAACATGTCTAGGATTGCACATCAGTCCTTTCCAGGCAGCAAAAATTATAGAGATGCTAAAGTATTTCATGTAAAACCAAGATTCGATTGCTCGGAGTACTAGCTAGTAGTACGTTTTCATAATGGCTGTGAAACCTGGACCTTAACAACTGAACTTGAAAGAAAGATACAAGCATTGGAAATGCGATGTTTCAGAGAAATTGTTGGCATATCATACAAAGACAACAAAACAAACGATGAGGTTCGCCATACAATTATAAAGCACATTGGCAGCTATGAGCCTCTTTTAACTACAGTGAAAAGGCGAAAGATGCATTGACACGGACATGTAAACAGATCTAACGGTCTCTCAGAGACAAGACTGCAGGGCTCAGTAAAAGGAAAGAGGAGAAAAGGCGGACCAAGAAAGACCTAGATACAGAACCTGACTGTCTGGACAGGTCTCAGGCATGCAACCATAAAGTCCGTCGCAGCTAACCGCCAAGGGTGGTGAGAGATGATCAGTCAAAAGAAACTGGTGACCTAACGACACGTAGTGTTATAGGATGATGATGGTAATAATAATGATGATGATGATGATGATGATGATGATGTCAGTTCCTGGAAAAATATTAGGTAGGATTATTTTGGAAACCCTAAAAGAGGCTACTGCGAAAAATTTCAGAGATGAACAGACAGGTTTTCGGCTAAACAAATCCTGTACTGACCAGATAGCCACATTACGTATAATACTACAATGATATATCGGATTCATAGACTATGAAAAAGCTTTTGACAGCATTGATAGGGAATCTCTCTAGAAATTAATGGGGCACTATGGAATCTCACAGAAAATTTTTACCCTAATGAAGGCAATTACTAGTCAACTAAACACATTTATTAACTGCTGGCTGCGCAGAACAGAGGGGATTAAATGGAACGATAGAATCTCTAATGTTGAACTTCGGGGGAGAACAAATCCTAGTGGACCAAGAAGTGAAGAAACTTCGCTGGTGTTGGATATAACAAACGTTTGAGAAAACATGAGAACAATATACCTAAAATATATTTGCACTAGAACCCACAGGAGCATGGAAAAAAATAAAGATCAAAAACCAAATGTAGAAGGGAGCTAGAGAATGAAGTTTAAAAGACGGGGAGGACTTGGGGAAAGCTGCATGAGTCAGCGAAGGATGCAACGACTTCGCGTGGCAGAAAAAAAAAGTAAAGGATTAGTTTAAATCAGAAGTGCTAAGCCGGAAGAAGCAAATATCGCAGCCTAACTGTAAACGGCAAGACCGAGCACTAGTGACCATTTATGGGCGAATGAAGAAAAATAAAAATGGATTGGTCGTTTAGCATATGTGAAATCTGTGTTTCTACTTAAAAACGGCCTCATATTTTTTTTTTTTATGCTTTACCGCTTCAGTTTGCCTTTTCTGTTATATGTTAATAATCACAAATTCGGTTCTGCTGTAATCTTGATCTTTCTCATTGGTTCTGAACTTTTTTTTTTAAAATTAATATTATCCAGAAGCCATGAGTTGTTAACCCTTAGGCTCGGTATTATGGAGATCGCAACCCTTCGGCCTTGATTCCATGATAAATACTGTAAATCTAGGAGAAAATGTGGCTTTTCTGCCTACCCCCGGGCGTGAACCCGGACCACAAGGAGTTTAACCTTACACAGAGACGCCATGTCTGTTCGTTGATATTACCATCAGCCCGGTCTTTCTTTCATTCATCTTGTGACTGCAGCTGATTTGTTCGCGTTCCAAAACCATCGTATCTATCAGCTCGTGTAGTTCCTTCTGACTTGACACTACCAAGATAGTGTCGTTACTGCCATATACAGTATATATATGTATATATTATGACCAGAAACCATGATCCCTGATATATCGTCTATACATTTAATTATATATTTAATATACAATTTGAAACTTTACGAATATTATACAACAAATATAAAAATATCCACAATTCTTTCCAGGATAGATAAAAACCTGGTCTGGAATGCGTCTGATTACGGAGGGATCAACCGGATGTTCTTGAATCAACAACAAATATGGTCGCCGGAAGTGTACGCGGAGTCGGGAGACAACAGTGTCATTTTGTTTACACTCCCGACCCAGCATGCAGTTCGCTCAGATGGTAGAGTGACCTTTACCTCTGTAGGTAACGTCCAGTCCCCGTGTAGCCTTGACCTGACCTGCTTTCCTTATGACACGCAGACCTGCACGTTCGGCTTCTCTGTCCTTGACTCCACTCTCAAAGAGATCAACCTGACCCTGGGAATCAAGGGCGTCAGAAAATCCAGGTCTCTGGTAAAGAACGGTGAGTGGGCCGTGGTCAGCACCGACTCCAACATCAGCTCCAGGGGGGAAGGTGATGACGAATGTCGGACCGTCGAGGCCATTGTCAGAATGAAACGTCGATCAACATATTACATAATCAACATACTGGTCCCAGCCATTGCTATCGACATCCTGAGCCTGCTCACATTCGGAGTACCCGTGGAGTCTGGAGAAAGGTTAGCCTACGCGTTGACGATACTCCTGTCGCTGTCTGTGTACATTACCTACATCGGCAGTATCATGCCTATGTACTCCGTCAACATGCCCAACATCTTCTACCTCCTTCTGGGACTGTTCTTGATGAGCTCTCTGTGTGTGGTGCTGACCGTTCTCATCATCGCCCTACGCTGGAGCCAGGTCGTCTCCATCAAGGACCACGAAAAAACCATTTCCATATTTGGAGCACGCTTCAAAATTAGAAGAACCCGGGAGAATAATGGGCGGGTTTTGAGATGCTTCTCTTGTAGTGTTCAAAGTTGCCAGAAGAAAAGCTCTTTAACTCCGGAAATGCAAACTATTTCCGGGCCTGGTCACCGAGAGTTGTGCGAACTTGAGAACAGAAATATTTATACCGTAAACAGGCAGGAGAGTGATCATGGAAGCCAAAGATCATTCGCTTTTCGTTTAGCTTCAGATGACTTGGTAGGGGCACGCACCAAGACTCCAATGGAGGAGAAGGACCACCTGAAGGCAATGGAAGACAGGGAGAATATGAACTTCTGGGATAAGTCTGAACGGCTTCACCAAGACCAGACAACAGACCCAGACATTCTGTTTATCTGTAACCGGCTCAACCTCTACAGTTTCCTGGTTCTGGCCTTGGCCTTTCTGGCTCTTTTGACCTTCAGCTTTGTACAGTTTCATCATCAGATTGTCCCTGATTAGCTTCAGACACCAGGGTTCAGTCTGGCAGTGTGCTTCCCTGAAGATGACCCATAGATCGACATCTTTTTTAACTAACTGTGTTATTGTTATAATAGATTCTTGTAGTTAAGGGTCAAGTGCATTGCACGTGGATTAGTGTTGCAGTTCCTTGCCATATCTTCCCCTTATGTCACAATCTTCCCCCTCATGTCACAATCTTCCCTCTCATGTCACAATCTCCCCCCTAGTGTTCCAATCTTTTCCTCATGTCACAATCTTCCCCTAATGTCACAATCTTCCCCTCATGTCATAATCTATCTTCCTCGTGTCACAGTTTTTCTTCCTCATGCTATCATCTCTTCTTGGTTTCACAGTTTTTCTCCCCCATGCCATCATCTCTCCTTGGTTTCACAGTCTTTCTCCCTCATGCCATCATCTCTCCTTGGTTTCACAATGTTTCTCCCTCACACGTTGCGAAGGCGCTTCCTAAAGCTGGGGTGCCGGGTTCGATCCCAGCTGAGAGCGGTTTGTCTTGCGTTGCTTTCGACAGTGGTACCGTGAGCTGACAGTGCAGAAAGCAATGGCAAACTACCGAACGTACAATTTGCCTAGAAAAACTATAATAGCTGAAAATGCTGGGGTTGGTTTTGCAACGTCCTGTAAAGGATACGCAACTAACTTTGAAAAGACCAGATCGAATAGACAAATTTCACAGTTCATATTCAGTTACAAAACCTCCCCACTACATGAAACAATGTATATAGAATGTTTGATTACAACATACACACTTGTGAATGTATTGGGTAAAGTTCGCACAATGTTGCAAGCTGCTATTGGCGTTATGAGCTGGGTTTATCTTCACAGCACTCCGGGTACGTCGATAGGTGGTCAGATTTCCTCTTGAACAAACACGCCTCGTGTAATTAATAGTGCCAGTTTAAAGTTGGTTGATAAAACATCTTGTACCTCTGGTGTGTATCTCATTGTGTGCCGATCTTTACTCCCAAATGTCGCATTCCTAGCAATGATGCGGACTCTGCTCCCCACATGCTCCGTTCGTTCCATCTTTCTAAGAACATAAATAATGTCGGCACGATCCATAGAAGGAGCATCTGCAGCTAAAGCACAACCAGACAGTCTGTGTTGATGCAGGCAACAGGTAAACTAGATCTGCAGCTAAAGCACAACCGGACAGTCTGTGTTGATGCAGGCAACAGGTAAGCTAGATGACGAATGACTGAAATACTATACCCTAAATAATTAATATTCACAAGTTCAAAAAATTTATGGATCTGTTTAAATGTATGAAAAAAATTTTTATTTGTTAAAAATATTTTTTTAAAGATCTGCAGATTGTGAGGCCCCTTCAGATTATGAGGCCCCTTCAGATTGTAATGCCTCTACAGATTGTGAAACCTTAAGCTATAGCTTAGTTAGCTTATGGCTAAACTCAGCACTGATCGCATACGATTCTAACAGACATGATCATAGCAAGGAACAGACAACAGAAGTGTGTTGACATTAACAACACCAGATCCTACAGCTGAACATCTACTGAGCGAGACAGAGCTCAGACAGACATGTCCGGAGTTCAGGCCCGATGTTTCTATTTAATACCATTGTTGGAACTAAACAAAGATCCGACCAATGGATAAACTCAATAGATCCATTCTATCGTCATTTGACCAAACCCGCCATTAGAAAATCAATTGCCCCACCAATATGTCAATTTAGAAAACACTCAGGCCGGACTTGTCTCGCTGACAGTTGCCTTGTGTTTCTAATGAAAGACAAATGTCAGTTGTAGAGAGAAGCCCCTGTTGAAGTGCTGTATGCATTCTGTACTATAGTACGTTATTGAAACAAGGACAGAAAAACAGACCAACCAGAAGACACGTAATGGTGGTAGTACACATTTTATTTGTGAACAATGGCTAAAATATCGTGGACAGAAAGAGAGAGATAAATCAAGAAGTTCCTAAAATAAAAATACTAAAAGGATGAATTGATCCCAGAAATTGCCTGTCAGCAGAAGAGAAATAAGTGACAAACAGAAGCAGACATACGTGTTTTTCTTGTCCTTCCAGTCTGTTAGCTGAGAGTTCCACCATCACAAGACTTCATTCAGTAATCTCATCCTGGATGACCTTTCAACTGTTTGATCTCAAACATTCCTTTTGGCCTCAGGACAAGCCATAGCTGGGCAGCCTTTTTGGCTAGAGCAGGCCGGTGTAGCTTCACCATCTTTCAGCTGTGGGAACAGTTAGATAGTTTGGAGGTTCAGACTTAACCTGACCACAGCTGACTTGATCTAAGACTTTATGGTTGGATGTTACACAACCTGACCACGGCTGACTTGATCTAAGACTTTATGGTTGGATGTTACACAACCTTACCACGGCTGACTTGATCTAAGACTTTATGGTTGGATGTTACACAACCTGACCACGGCTGACTTGATCTAAGACTTTATGGTTGAATGTTACACAACCTGACCACGGCTGACTTGATCTAAGACTATATGGTTGGATGTTACACAACCTGCCCACGGCTGACTTGATCTAAGACTTTATGGTTGGATGTTACACAACCTGACCACGGCTGACTTGATCTAAGACTATATGGTTGGATGTTACACAACCTGACCACGGCTGACTTGATCTAAGACTTTATGGTTGGATGTTACACAACCTGACCACGGCAGACTTGATCTAAGACTATATAGTTGGATGTTACACAACCTGACCACGACTGACTTGATCTAAGACTTTATGGTTGGATGTTAGGACACAACTTGACCACGGCTGACTTGATCTAAGACTTTATGGTTGGATGTTACACAACCTGACCACGACTGACTTGATCTAAGACTTTATGGTTGGATGTTACACAACCTGACCACGGCAGACTTGATCTAAGACTTTATGACTGGATGTTGGAACACAACTTCTCTATGGCAGACTTGATCTAAGATTTTATGGTTGGATGTTGGAACACAAGCTGACCACAGAAGACTTGATCAAAGACTTTATGGCTGGATGTTAGGACACAACTTGTCCATGGCAGACTTGATCCATGACTTTATGGTTAGATGTTGGGACACAACCTGACCACATAAGACCTGATCCATGACTTTATGGTTGGATGTTGGGTCACAACCTTGCCTCAAATGAATCATTTTGTTGGGAGGTGGAACAAAAATAAAATTGGGGGGGGGGGGGAGACATTGCAAGGAAATTATCTGTGAAATAGTGTATATTTAATTTTATTGCAAGTATATTATTATATTTAAGCGTCATTCATCCTATTGTTTTATTATCATTCTTACAGTCACTATCGTCATCATCACCATTATCGTCATTTTCATTATTATCATCATACGTCATCGTCGTCGTTGTCATCGTTACATCATCGTAACCATGGTCATTATCGTCAGGCTCATCATCATCATCCTTACCATCGTCATCATTTTTATCATCATTATCATAGCATCATCATAACTATCGTCGTTGTCATCATCATACTCTAGAGAAGAGACTGGTTCTAGTGGTTGCTAGAAAATAACGCGGTCTCTAAATAACGCGGAAAAGAGACTTGCAACAATTTTATTGATTGGAAATCAACACGGCTCAACTAGAGGAGACCTTACAGTAACTGACCTCGCGTGATGGATGCATTCAGTCTGTGAAATCAACAAATCAGACCACTCGATCTGTTTACTTGTCAGGTTAAACAGTGTCGGTTCAATACGTGACGTTGTAATCTGTAGAGTTGCGACTCAGTCAAAGACTTTAGAGAGCTGGAAAGCTAGGCTATTTACTGTGGACACAGAAAACATTAAGAGCTTGTTGCTAGAAGACACAACTCCGAGCATCCGTGTGTTGTCATAGATCCGCCTGCTGCATCTGGTGATATCAAGGACGTATCTCTTCAAAGGGAAAGCGGAGTAATGTGGGCCGACGCTGGAAGGTGGGCCAAGGTAGCCCTAATCCTAGACTTCATTTTACCTGCCCTGGGAGACGCCACCGAATCGGATTTTCTGCGTCTCTACGACAAATTGTTGGGAAATTACACGTATGTATGTATGTATGTATGTATGTATGTATGTATGTATGTATGTATGTATGTATGTATGTATGTATGTATGTATGTATGTATGTATGTATGTATGTATGTATGTATGTATGTATGTATGTATGTATGTATGTATGTATGTATGTATGTATGTATGTATGTATGTATGTATGTATGTATGTATGTATGTATGTATGTATGTATGTATGTATGTATGTATGTATGTATGTATGTATGTATGTATGTATGTATGTATGTATGTATGTATGTATGTATGTATGTATGTATGTATGTATGTATGTATGTATGTATGTATGTATGTATGTATGTATGTATGTATGTATGTATGTATGTATGTATGTATGTATGTATGTATGTATGTATGTATGTATGTATGTATGTATGTATGTATGTATGTATGTATGTATGTATGTATGTATGTATGTATGTATGTATGTATGTATGTATGTATGTATGTATGTATGTATGTATGTATGTATGTATGTATGTATGTATGTATGTATGTATGTATGTATGTATGTATGTCTGTATGTATGTATGTATGTATGTATGTATGTATGTATGTATGTATGTATGTATGTATGTATGTATGTATGTATGTATGTATGTATGTATGTCTGTATGTATGTATGTATGTATGTATGTATGTATGTATGTATGTATGTATGTCTGTATGTATGTATGTATGTATGTATGTATGTATGTATGTATGTATGTATGTATGTATGTATGTATGTATGTATGTTATGTATGTATGTATGTATGTATGTATGTATGTATGTATGTATGTATGTATGTATGTATGTATGTATGTATGTATGTATGTATGTATGTCTGTATGTATGTATGTATGTATGTATGTATGTATGTATGTATGTATGTATGTATGTATGTATGTATGTATGTATGTATGTATGTATGTATGTATGTATGTATGTATGTATGTATGTATGTATGTATGTATGTATGTATGTATGTATGTCTGTATGTATGTATGTATGTATGTATGTATGTATGTATGTATGTATGTATGTATGTATGTATGTATGTATGTATGTATGTATGTATGTATGTATGTATGTATGTATGTATGTATGTATGTATGTATGTATGTATGTATGTATGTATGTATGTATGTATGTATGTATGTATGTATGTATGTATGTATGTATGTATGTATGTATGTATGTATGTATGTATGTATGTATGTATGTATGTATGTATGTATGTATGTATGTATGTATGTATGTATGTATGTATGTATGTATGTATGTATGTATGTATGTATGTATGTATGTATGTATGTATGTATGTATGTATGTATGTATGTATGTATGTATGTATGTATGTATGTATGTATGTATGTATGTATGTATGTATGTATGTATGTATGTATGTATGTATGTATGTATGTATGTATGTATGTATGTATGTATGTATGTATGTATGTATGTATGTATGTATGTATGTATGTATGTATGTATGTATGTATGTATGTATGTATGTATGTATGTATGTATGTATGTATGTATGTATGTATGTATGTATGTATGTATGTATGTATGTATGTATGTATGTATGTATGTATGTATGTATGTATGTATGTATGTATGTATGTATGTATGTATGTATGTATGTATGTATGTATGTATGTATGTATGTATGTATGTATGTATGTATGTATGTATGTATGTATGTATGTATGTATGTATGTATGTATGTATGTATGTATGTATGTATGTATGTATGTATGTATGTATGTATGTATGTATGTATGTATGTATGTATGTATGTATGTATGTATGTATGTATGTATGTATGTATGTATGTATGTATGTATGTATGTATGTATGTATGTATGTATGTATGTATGTATGTATGTATGTATGTATGTATGTATGTATGTATGTATGTATGTATGTATGTATGTATGTATGTATGTATGTATGTATGTATGTATGTATGTATGTATGTATGTATGTATGTATGTATGTATGTATGTATGTATGTATGTATGTATGTATGTATGTATGTATGTATGTATGTATGTATGTATGTATGTATGTATGTATGTATGTATGTATGTATGTATGTATGTATGTATGTATGTATGTATGTATGTATGTATGTATGTATGTATGTATGTATGTATGTATGTATGTATGTATGTATGTATGTATGTATGTATGTATGTATGTATGTATGTATGTATGTATGTATGTATGTATGTATGTATGTATGTATGTATGTATGTATGTATGTATGTATGTATGTATGTATGTATGTATGTATGTATGTATGTATGTATGTATGTATGTATGTATGTATGTATGTATGTATGTATGTATGTATGTATGTATGTATGTATGTATGTATGTATGTATGTATGTATGTATGTATGTATGTATGTATGTATGTATGTATGTATGTATGTATGTATGTATGTATGTATGTATGTATGTATGTATGTATGTATGTATGTATGTATGTATGTGTATGTATGTATGTATGTATGTATGTATGTATGTATGTATGTATGTATGTATGTATGTATGTATGTATGTATGTATGTATGTATGTATGTATGTATGTATGTATGTATGTATGTATGTATGTATGTATGTATGTATGTATGTATGTATGTATGTATGTATGTATGTATGTATGTATGTATGTATGTATGTATGTATGTATGTATGTATGTATGTATGTATGTATGTATGTATGTTGTATGTATGTATGTATGTATGTATGTATGTATGTATGTATGTATGTATGTATGTATGTATGTATGTATGTATGTATGTATGTATGTATGTATGTATGTATGTATGTATGTATGTATGTATGTATGTATGTATGTATGTATGTATGTATGTATGTATGTAAATCCACGTCTCCCACCCCTCCAAATCACGTACCTGTGTTTAGAAAGCGAAATTTTCCCTAAAGAAACATATCCGAGAAAAGATATTCAGTTGTATTTGGATCTTGGTTTCTCCTACAAAGATTATCGAAGGGTGTGAAAATTAGTGAGTAGACAAGGACGGAAGAATGTTATCGGTGTGCAACTCATTAGTCTATGCTCTTCCACCCAACACGGCACAAATAACTAGGACACACTAGCGACACGTTTCAGTCGTCTTTTTCAACCGAGAGAAACAAACAACTAAATCATACAAACCGTAGAGGTCACGTAGAGCAGGTCATGCACCATAGGCAAAGTAGAAACGAAACGAAACAATGAACCGGAAAAGTAGGTGAGAATATACATGGACAAATAAACAAATTTTGTTTTGAAATGTTGAGCCAGGAAGCCTCAATGTTTTCCCGTGTGGATTTGGGAATCTGCATTATTGGGGGGGGGGGGGGGGGGGGGGGGGGGGGGGTGGGGGAAGAGGACAGACCCAATCTCCTAGCTCCTTTCTTATTCTTGCATGCATGTCGTCAAAGGCGACTGATTCTGAGAAGTTTCTTCGAAGTCAAAGCCCATCTCCCTGGAGGCAAGGAACCAGCAACTGTCTGCACATAAATGAGTAAACTTTGTAAAACGGCTGTGTACGAAACACTCTAGTTCTGGAACAAGACCACAGTCCAGATGTGACCAAACAACCAGAACTTTCCGCTGGAGTTTACATCAGGTAAACGTAACAAAGAGAAGAACTGGATGTTGATGCGTGCAAGCCCGAGAGCTCAGAAACTATGAAAAGCTTCCATTTCTTTGCTGCATAAACAGCTCGTTATTCTGCCTGTCATTCGTCCATTTATTTGTTTGCTGAGAACTCCAAACTTGATTGGGCTGTTTGTCTGTCTTTGTCAATCAAATCATTGTGTCATGGGCTACCCTTGTTGACTCCAGAGCTCCCGTGGTGTAGTGGCTAAACGCTCCCTCGTGGATCGGAAGGTCAGTGGTTCGGGTTCTGACCATCCCAGACGTTTGTTTGTCTTCAGAAATGACCCAGGTCGACCCAGCCTTGAATGAGTACCAGCTAAAGACTTGGAAAGTAAAGGCGGTCGGCATGATGCTGACCACATCACCCATCAAGTACCGAATGGTCTATATTTCTAGCCCTATATGCCCACCGTTCTTGAGGGCGCGGAACAGGGTCATTTAGTTACATTTTTGATTTGCTGAGCTTCTGGAGACAACTTGACCGGTAATGAAGGGGCCTCTGGAGACAACTTGACCGGTAATTAAGGGGCCTCTGGAGACAACTTGAGCGGTAATGAAGGGGCCCTGGAGACAACTTGAGCGGTAATGAAGGGGCCTCTGGAGACAACTTGAGCGGTATTGAAGGGGCCTCTGGAGACAACTTGAGCGGTAATGAAGGGGCCTCTGGAGACAACTTGACCGGTAATGAAGGGGCCTCTGGAGACAACTTGACCGGTAATGAAGGGGCCTCTGGAGACAACTTGACCGGTAATGAAGGCGCCTCTGGAGACAACTTGACCGGTAATGAAGGGACCTCTGGAGACAACTTGAGCGGTAATGAAGGGGCCTCTAGAGACAACTTGACCGGTAATGAAGGGGCCTCTGTTGTTGTTGTCCACAGGCCTCACATGCGCCCCCTAGAGAACCAGACTTCAGCCTTGACCGTGACCCTGCAGTTTGACCTTATCTCTGTGTCCGAACTCAATGACGCCAAGCAGCGGGTATCGGCCCTGGTGCTGGTCAGTGTCCAGTGGTGAGTCTTCGGACATGACTTCATCTCCATCGTCATCCCCATCATCATCATCATCATCATCATCGTCGTCATCATCATCATCATCGTCATCATCATCATCGTCATCATCATCATCATCATTATCATCATCATCGTCGTCGTCATCATCATCACCATCATCCCCCGTGTGGGTTCCGGGGCTTTATTATAGGGAAAACAAGAATAGACATACTGCCTTCCCAAAAGCGTGTCGTAAAAGTCGACTGATTGGGAGCTTCCTTCGAAGTCGATGTGCATTGGCCTGAGACGCAATGAAACAGCAGTCAGCACACAAATGAGTCAGATCAGTCAAACGGATGCACACGCAACACTCAGGTTCTGAAACAGTACTGCAATCCAGAAGTGGACGAACAATCAGAACGTTTCGCCAGAGTTTACAGCCGGTGAGCGCGATGAAGGAGAAGAAGTTCACCATCATCAACATCATCATCATCTTCATCAGCGTCACATAATTTATAGACACGTAGAAAGATAGACAAGTCGGCACGCTGATACAAAGATAGATTATACGAATGTACACGCACAAACACACACACGCAGACATAAACATACACACGCCAACACATACAAACACAAACATACACCCACAGATAAATACGCACAGAGACACACCCATGCAGAAACCAAAGCAGACACACACGCAAACACATACATACACACACGTCGACGCACACGCACAAACACACATAGATAGATAGATAGATAGATAGATAGATAGATAGATAGATAGATAGATAGATAGATAGATAGATAGATAGATAGATAGATAGATAGATAGATAGATAGATAGATAGATAGATAGATAGATAGATAGATAGATAGATAGATAGATAGATAGATAGATAGATAGATAGATAGATAGATAGATAGATAGATAGATAGATAGATGATAGATAGATAGATAGATAGATAGATAGATAGATAGATAGATAGATAGATAGATAGATAGATAGATAGATAGATAGATAGATAGATAGATAGATAGATAGATAGATAGATAGATAGATAGATAGATAGATAGATAGATAGATAGATAGATAGATAGATAGATAGATAGATAGAGATAGATAGATAGATAGATAGATAGATAGATAGATAGATAGATAGATAGATAGATAGATAGATAGATAGATAGATAGATAGATAGATAGATAGATAGATAGATAGATAGATAGATAGATAGATAGATAGATAGATAGATAGATAGATAGATAGATAGATAGATAGATAGATAGATAGATAGATAGATAGATAGATAGATAGATAGATAGATAGATAGATAGATAGATAGATAGATAGATAGATAGATAGATAGATTCGATAGACAAACAGACATACAGACGGATGGATAATCGTAAACCTGTACCTCCCATAATTTTAGGTATGACAAGAACCTGATATGGGAACCGAGCGAATACGGCAGCATCGACCGAATGTACCTGAACGGCAATCAAATCTGGGCTCCGAAAGTCTACATCCAGGAGTCAGCCACCATGGATCCCAAGCTGTTCAGCCTGCCCACCACTCATCTAGCCCTGCCCACTGGAAATGTCACTTTCGCTTCCACGGGAATCATTGAGGCGGCCTGCCGGCTCAACGTCGTCTACTTCCCCTACGACTACCAGTCCTGCAGTTTTGTCTTTGGCGTACTCGACTCCTCCAGGCAGGACGTCCTTCTCGAGGCAGACTCGAGGGGGCCTCAGAAATCTCCGAGCTATGTCGAAGATGGAGAATGGCAAATTCTCGCATTTGAAACGGCCTTGAAATACAGTGGGATCAAGGACTATGAAACGCAGACGCTGAAAGTGACGTTTACCCTACAGCGACGATCCACCTACTACGTTCTCAATGTGATTGTTCCTGCCATGTCGGTGTCCCTCCTGAGCCTTCTCACGTTTGCCATTCCCGTGGACAGCGGGGAGCGTCTACTGTTTTGTCTGTCCATCCTCCTATCTATGTCTGTATATTTGACCTACATCGGTTGCATAATGCCATCTTCATCTATCGAAATGCCAATCATCCTTCGGTACCTGGTCTGTCTGTTCCTCATCAGTTCCCTCTGCGTGATCATCACGGTTGCTGTCATCATTGTACGATGGAGCAAAGTTGCTGTCGTCAACGACCAACAAAAACGCATCTTTATCTTAGGGATTCCAATAACGTTCAGACGCAGGCGATCATTGTTTGGTGTACTGCATCGATGTCCCAAAAAAACACAACAAAGCGGCCACAGTCATAACTGTAATGAGATCCTCAGTGTGTGCTCCTGTCAGCTTCAGAACTTTCCCGAATCGTTTTCCCCAAACACGAGTGAGTGTCCATCTTCAGTAGAAGATCTTGGCAATGCCAGCTCGACATTTTCCAGGCTACACAAAAGTGACCTCAGGCGATCAGTGGCTGAAAAGATGAAGTGCTTGAGGAAATCTTTCAAGAGAAACAGCAAGGCTAAGACCAAGCTGAGCCTAGAGGCGGATATTGTTGGGCGAGATCTGGACGTGACCTACATCTGCTCACGCCTGGACCTGGGTAGTTTCCTGGTGATTTTGTTCTTTTATCTGGTCACTACTGTCCACACGTTTGTCCAGTTGAACAGAGGCATGCATAGATAGGTTACTCACACTGACACACATCACCGTTCACACGTTTGTCCAGTTGAACAGAGGGATGCATAGATAGGTTACTCACACTGACACACACATCACGGTTCACACATTTGTCCAGTTGAACAGAGGGATGCTCAGATAGGTTACTCACACTGACACACACACAGACACACACATCACGGTCCACACGTTTGTCCAGTTGAACAGAGGGATGCACAGATAGGTTACTCTCTCTCTCTCTCTCTCTCTCTCTCTCTCTCACACACACACACACACACACACAAACTCAAAAACACCCACACAAACGCAAACACACACACGCACACACACACACTCAAACACACACACACACACACAAACACACACACATACACACACTGTAGATGCACACAGGTTTCCCCAGAATCCATGCACTGTCCGGAATCTCTCGCTTGTCACCACTGATCAAGTTATCTGAGGGCTTGTTTGGGAAAGCTCTTTAGAAACTAAACCAACAGAGCCTCATGTAGAGCATTAGGCACAACTTGTGTTAGAACATAGAAGATAAGGTCAGACAAAAAAAAGTGTTCCATAGAAGATAAATTCAGACAAAAAATTGGTCCACAGAAGATAAGTTCAGACAAAAACGTGGTTCATAGAAAATAAGGTAAGACAAAAAAAAAAAAGTGTTCCATAGAAGATAAGGTCTGACAAAAAAGTGCTCCATAAAAGATAAGGTCAGACAAAAAAGTGTTCCATAGAAGATAAGTTCAGACAAAAACGTGGTCCATAGAAGATAAGGTTAGACCCAAAAAAAGTGGTCCATTGAAGATAAGGTCAGACAAAAACGTGGTCCATAGAAGATAAGGTTAGACAAAAAAATTGATCTATTGAAGATAAGGTCAGACAAAAACGTGGTCCATAGAAGATAAGGTTAGACCCAAAAAAAGTGGTCCATAGAAGATAAGGTTAGACCCAAAAAAAGTGGTCCATAGAAGATAAGGTTAGACACACACACAAAAACGCGGTCCATAGTAGATAAGGTCTGACAAAAAAATGGTCCATACAAAAAAAAAAGGTCTGACAAAAAAGTGGTCTATAGAAGATAAGGTCTGACCAAAAAAAGTGGTCCATAGAAGATCCGTTGCAGGTGAGTTAGTTGCCCATCCGTGATAGGACGTTGCATAACCAAAGCTGTTTTCACCTTTTGTGATTGTAGACAATTTCACGTTCCGTAGTCAACCGTCGGCTCTCCATATCACTATCGTACTGAACGCACAGCGGTCTGCTGCCACATTTCCCGCAGTTGGTATCGAAGTAGGGCATGTGGGAGTGACGAAGTGCACTGGTGACGCTTAAGGCATTGACGCTGACAACATAACAGATAGAACTATAACATAACATATAGAACTTTAACACAACATATAGAACTATAATATAACAGATTCAATGTAACATAACAGATAAAACTATAACATATACAACTATAACATAACAGATACAACTGTAACATAACAGATACAACTATAACATGACAGCTAGAAGTATAACATAATGGATGGAATTATAACATAACAGATACAACCACAACATAGCAGATACAACTTTAACATAATAAATGTATAATACGTAGCAGATGCAACTATAACACATCAGACTGAGCTATAACATAACATAAAATATAGAACTTATAACATATAGAACTTATAACATACAGAACTTATAACATATAGAACTTATAACATATAGAACTTATAACATATAGAACTTTAACATATAGAACTTATAACATATAGAACTTATAACATATAGAACCTATAACATATAGAACTTATAACATATAGAACTTATAACATATAGAACTTATAATATATAGAACTTATAACATATAGAACTTATAACATATAGAACTTATAACATATAGAACTTATAACATATAGAACTTTAACATATAGAACTTATAACATATAGAACTTATAACATATAGAACCTATAACATATAGAACTTATAACATATAGAACTTATAACATATAGAACTTATAACATATAGAACTTATAACGTATAGAACTTATAACATATAGAACTTATAACATATAGAACTTATAACATATAGAACTTATAACGTATAGAACTTATAACATATAGAACTTATAACATATAGAACTTATAACATATAGAACTTATAACGTATAGAACTTATAACATATAGAACTTATAACATATAGAACTTATAACATATAGAACTTATAACATATAGAACTTATAACATATAGAACTTATAACATATAGAAATATATAAAACTGTGGGGCTGCTTTCCAACCTGGTGGGGGAAAAAGGGGGGGGGGGGTTACTCTCTGGGGGTCGTGAGGAGGTTTGAAGGAGAGAAAAGTGGGTGGGGTCAAACAGTTTTAAAATTGAGAATATTTGTACTTGTAGTTATAATCTGTATGTTTGTGTCAACTCTAGCAGTTAGGAACACTTCAAGCTCAGCATCCAGTCAATAAAATATGGAGATCAATGCCAACAATCATAATACAAACAATGCAAGTCAGTAAAAGCCCCGGCCCATGAAACATAGACAGGTGTGGCTCTGACCTGAAACATAGACAGGAGGGGCTCTGACCTGAAACATAGACATGAGTGGCTTTGACATGAAACATAGACAGGAGTGGCTCTGACCTGAAACATAGACATAAGTGGCTTTGACATGAAACATAGACGTGAGTGGCTTTGACATGAAACATAGACATGAGTGGCTCTGACCTGAAACATAGACATGAGTGGCTTTGACATGAAACATAGACAGGAGTGGCTCTGACCTGAAACATAGACATAAGTGGCTTTGACATGAAACATAGACGTGAGTGGCTTTGACATGAAACATAGACATGAGTGGCTCTGACCTGAAACATAGACAGGAGTGGCTCTGACCTGAAACATAGACATGAGTGGCTTTGACATGAAACATAGACATGAGTGGCTCTGACCTGAAACACAGACATGTGTGGCTTTGACATGAAACATACACATGAGTGGCTCTGACCTGAAACATAGACATGAGTGGCTCTGACCTGAAACATAGACATGTGTGGCTCTGACCTGAAACATAGACAGAAGTGGCTCTGACCTGAAACATAGACAGGAGTGGCTCTGACCTGAAACATAGACATGTGTGGCTCTGACCTGAAACATAGACAGGAGTGGCTCTGACCTGAAACATAGACAGGAGTGGCTCTGACCTGAAACATAGACATGTGTGGCTCTGACCTGAAACATAGACAGGAGTGGCTCTGACCTGAAACATAGACAGGAGTGGCTCTGACCTGAAACATAGACAGGAGTGGCTCTGACCTGAAACATAGACAGGAGTGGCTCTGACCTGAAACATAGACAGGAGTGGCTCTGACCTGAAACATAGACATGTGTGGTTCTGACCTGAAACATAGACAGGAGTGGCTCTGACCTGAAACATAGACAGGAGTGGCTCTGACCTGAAACATAGACAGGAGTGGCTCTGACCTGAAACATAGACATGTGTGGCTCTGACCTGAAACATAGACAGGAGTGGCTCTGACCTGAAACATAGACATGTGTGGTTCTGACATGAAACATAGACAGGAGTGGCTCTGACCTGAAACATAGACATGTGTGGCTCTGACCTGAAACATAGACATGTGTGGTTCTGACATGAAACATAGACAGGAGTGGCTCTGACCTGAAACATAGACATGTGTGGCTCTGACATGAAACATAGACAGGAGTGGCTCTGACCTGAAACATAGACATGTGTGGCTCTGACCTGAAACATAGACATGTGTGGCTTTGACATGAAACATAGACATGTGTGGTTCTGACATGAAACATAGACATGTGTGGCTTTGACATGAAACATAGACATGAGTGGCTCTGACCTGAAACATAGACAGGAGTGTCTCTGACCTGAAACATAGACAGGAGTGGCTCTGACCTGAAACAAGTGACAGAATTTACATATCTACGACCCCAAACCACCACGCTTAACGTAAGAAATGGTCTGAGATGATGATGATGATAATGATGATGATGATAATGATAATAATGATGATGATAATGATGATGATGATAATGATTATGATGATAATGATAGTTAGAAAACAAAATGACGCTGCCAGCTTGATGTAAAGAGTGATCTAGGTTGTGCCTTGTCCAACAAAAGGCCATAAATAGCAGATATCATCCAGACCAAACAGGGCCAACCATCACAACGCTATCTGGACACTGAATGACCAGTTTTTGAGTATTGATCTGTCTCATTTAACACTTTGCATTATGTGTGTTTTTCTCAAAGTACTTGTTAACAGTGCACGATTTTTTCCCCCGATACTTTTAATGACATTTTATTTATAATCACATTATCGACATGTCGCGCTTTCGCCCCTGGCCGAAACGTCGATGTGTGTGTTTTGTGCACGTTGTTCTGCTTCCCCATTTGGTTAAGCTTTTCAGTCACAGCTCACTGGATTCATGTCTTGGTATAAGCTGACTGTAGTCACCCCTATTTCCACCACATCGAGATACCAGCTAAGTCATTTTGTGTATCTGTGTATTATTGTTTAATTTGTGTGTGCTGATGAAGGCTCAATAGCCGCAACGTTCACGTTTTGTTTGTATTTGTTATATTGTGAAGCTTGCTAATATACTTTTCTTTCGGTTTTGTATCTTTTCTTGATATTCCCAACACAGATTGTTTCTTATCTAATACAATACAGATTTTTATATTGTTTCCTATCTAATACAATACAGATTTTTATATTTTGAGTCTCAAATTGAGCGTGCATGCCTATCTTACATTAGGCCCTTGCAAACGCGCATCTTTTACACAGAATTTGTATTATACATAAATGTAAGGCATGTTATAGTTACTTTGTGGGGCCACCGACAGCAATGACAATAAAGAAATTAAGTCAGATTGTTCATGAATTTCTTGTTCACTTTCTTACTTCCACAGCTACTTAGTTTTGTTCTCCCCCCCCCCCCCCCCCCCC